TTCCGGTTTTATTTTATTTAAAGCTTTATATCCGAGACTTTTATTTTATTTCTTAGGAAAATATAGTTGGGGGGAAAATATGATCTATTTCAATTTAGACTAGCACTTGAGACAGTGGTGAAATTCAATTTTTTTTTAGTACAGGTTCTGTGGGCGTAGTTTGGTGGGCATGGCAGGGGAAGGATACTGCAAAATCCCCATTCCCACCCCATTCTTGAGCCAGCCAGAGGTGGTATTTGTCGGATCTCTGAACTACTCAAAATTTCCGCTACCGGTTCTCCAGAACCTATCAGAACCTGCTGAATGTCACCCCTGAGTTGAGATTAAAAAGCAAGGGTCAGCAGCACTGATAAACCTAAAGGATAAATCTAAAGGCAGTTAGAGAACCTGATTAAAACTTTTCAACAATTACTGCACAATATAATAAATGTAGGAGAAGGAGTGGCAGAACCTGGGGGGGGGGTGAAGTCAAAAAACGAAGCATAGAATTATAAAGCTGAGGGGATCTTGGGGAAACTTCTAGTCTAATCCTCAAATCAGCCTAGAGTCTCTGAGCACATAGCCACAAAAGGACTAAGTCCAATTCCTCTTGAAGTCTGTTGACCCTTATCTAGAGCCAAAATAGTGCTAGCCTTAGTTGCGTAAATTCCTCTGCTTAGGCAGAGGTTTAATTGAAATTTAATGTGTGGTCCAGGTCTTTCACACCAGACATTAAAATATAATAAATAAAATATGTATATAGTAAAAGATTCAATATTTTTCAAGAGTAAGCAAAGTTATCTATGCAAATTATTATTATGTCTTATGACATGAGCTTCTCTGATGTCTTTTCATCACTAAATAACAAAAAAAAGATCCACAGAACAGGTGACTTGAGGATTTCTGTCAGCTATATGTCATACAGAAAAAAGGTATATTAAATACCAGATAATTCTTATTCTGGGTAACTTACTGAGGCCTACCATGAGACCAACCTGAAGTATTCTACTCCTCTCCTTTAAAGAGGCTAGCTGAGCTGGCAGTTGAAGCATTTCTTTCATTTGCAGCAGTTTGGATGATTCATGAGGCTCTACCAGGTGATTATGGCAAAGGGCCCACATGAATTGACCCTCTCACACTACATGATGGTCAGAGGGTCAGAGCCATTTGTCTTCTCCAGGAACATGGAGATTAACAGTAAAGTCTCCTCTCTGAACTGCACTGAACTCCTGGCTTTATATTTTCATTTACATGCTGTTATAGTTTGATTAGTAACAATATGAAAGTCATCAGTCATTAGTTTCTGGGTTTTTTTCCTCAGTCGTATTTCTTCTTGGTCTCCCATCTAAGTAGTAACCAGTCTGATTTAAAATAGTTTTTTGATACCCGCCAATTAGGTAAAATTAATCTATTTGGCTCCAATTTCTAGCTTTGTTTTTGATCATATAGCTCCGTGATGGCGAACCTCTGGCACGCGTGCCACGGGTGGCACACAGAGCCCTCCTTCAGGCATGTGAGCCATTGTCCCAGCTCAGCTGTACCATGCATGCGCATGTGCCTCCCGCCAGCCAGCTGGTTTTAGGGTCTCTGCTACACATTCGCAGGGGGCACATGTGAGGGTTGCAGACACATATATGGGGGTCGCAGGCACAAGAGAGCATGGGGGGGTTGCATGTGCATGCATGGGGGGAGAGCATGGGGGGGTTGTGCATGCATGTCCTGGGGGTGGGTGGGAGAGCACGGAGTCGCACATGCATTCACAGGCGCAGGGTGTACGTGCATTACATTATAGATTTGTCCGTGCATGCACTTTTGGCACGCTACAACAAAAAGGTTAGCCATCACTGACATAGGTGCTGTAGATAATGTAATCAGTCCTATGGTACCAACCATGTAGAAACTATAATAGTGATAAGTAATAATAGCAGGTCAACCTAACTAACTTGACTTGAATTTGATATTTAACTTGACAAACCACACTTCTAACCCGTTCTTTTTGTTCCTCAAAATATTAAAAAGTCAATCACATTGTGCCTCTTTATCGTAATGTTTCTTTGATTTAGTTTATGATTCTCTATGCACTTCAAGTTACAAAGGTTGCATCTTGATGGAGGGACTTAAACCTATTGAAAATAAATGTGGGGACTTTAACATCTACATTAAGACAGGAAAAGCTGAATACATTCTACCTTTTGTCATTCCTTTCTTCACATCTACCCAAGATTTAATACTACCTGAAGTAATACTTTTGTAGGAACTATGGGCACCATGTTGGCACTTACCTGAATACAGCAATCATAAGTCAATATTTTTTTATCATCTACTATGTATTCTTTCAGTGGCAGAAGCTTTTGTCATGTGTTGCCAGTTTGCTATGGTGATAATTACAATGGCAAGGTTTAGTCTCATGTTTTCTTTTTGTACCCGATTAAAGAAATCAATGGATACCATTATGTACCATATGTATGTAAGAGATGTTTGCAGTTCAAGTGATTTAACTGAATGCCTATTCTTGCTAGTGAGACAGCTCAGAAATGTGGAAAAGTGTGAAAAACATTTCAATTCCCAGAACATTAAAGGCAAATAGACTTACCTAACATTGCCGATCACTACCCATGAATTTATATCTCTCCATCCATTGAGGCCAAATTCAGAGAAGGGGTTCTTGATTCTCTTTCTGTTTCAAAGAGCATCTCTCTCAAGGCTGAACTTGAGGCTGAGTAAATAGTAAACAAGCTATAGCCTACCTGGAGGAAAAATAAAATGGATCTTGTTTTGAAAACAAAGAAGGTCCTACTATCAGTGTTTACATTACACTCCTTTCCAAGCACATGAGAAANAAGACCCTGTCTTATTTTCGGGGAAATACAGCAGTTGTAAATAATGTCCAAAATGAGTGGTATTTAAAGGGGGGGAATAAAATAAAATAAAATCTGAAGTCAGGGGAGCATGATGGACATGCCAGAAGATCAGAAACTCAGTGGAGATTCCAAGCAGAAACATCAGCTGGTTTCTGAGCCACAGAATTCTAATTTCTACCCCAGCACCCAATAATGTTCCTAAGGATCTCTGAACTGCTTATTTTGGTTCCTGAAGAGCTCAATAATGACATTGAACTCCGAAGGCTATCTTTATTTGGGAAAAGTGCTTCACAGCCTTTCTGTGTCCTATCAAAGACCACTTTTCCTCCCAAATAGCTCCTTTAATTTCAGCAGTACTACCGCAGAATAGACTGCTGTGGATTGCCACCAGCACAGTATTCCCATTTTATACAGGCTTGGAAGCTTGGCACCTAAGAAATATTTCTTTATTCCTTTTACATAATGCTTCACACCTTCCTTTTACATTGTGAGAGTTGTGGATATTATGGGAAGAATTAGGTGTTCATTTGGTGTGAGAATATGGTTGCCATATGCTGCTCCATTTGTATTTGATTTTACGTCTTTTTTTTCTTGCATAAGTAAAAAAAAAATCATCAGCAATTTCTGAGGCAGACTACCTGGATGCGAATATCAGCACACAATACAACCTACTTTTTATTCTTTTCCGCTCTTTCCACTGTGAGGGTAAATAAATGCTCATCATGTTAGAGGAAAAGGTCAGGAACTAAGAAGCTTCCTGATGTGGTAAATATTAAGGCAACGATGTACTTATGTTGTACTGAAGCCTGTATTTTCAATCTCACCTGCCTTTTGAAGAAAGGGAGAAGTAGGATTTGTTGTATGCAATTCCCAGTTAGTCTCCCCTACCTGGCTCCTGCAAATCAAGAGTGTGCTGACAATGAAAATATGCAAGTCACCCTGCACAACAGCCTCTCCATAGTTCTTCCCATGGATATCAGATCTGCATAACCATCTTGCACTGCTCCTGGGTAATTGACATTCCAGCCCTGAGCAGAGGCATCAGTCACTGCTTTCACACATTTATTTTCCTTTCATTCTGCTTTCTGCAAAGAAATAAGACTATGTGAAAAGCTCTTAGCATGGGTGGCTTTTGTTGATATATAAAATCATGTTCCGGTTTTATTTTATTTAAAGCTTTATATCCGAGACTTTTATTTTATTTCTTAGGAAAATATAGTTGGGGGGAAAATATGATCTATTTCAATTTAGACTAGCACTTGAGACAGTGGTGAAATTCAATTTTTTTT